GCGGCGCGCCAAACCCAGCCTCACTAACACGCCCCATCATCCGCAGTGAACAAGAATGTAGGTATAGTTCAAGATATCTGAGGCGCGGCACCTCACAGCTCAGCATTTTTAGCTAGTTGGCTTGACGCAACACTTGAATCAAGTCGTGAAATAGATGGTACAGGACGTAAGCTGCTAGATTCAACTGATTGGTGCCAAAGTGTTGCTTCAGGTCAACTAGTTAGGAATACTGGATAGTTCGCGTGCAACGCCGCAACTCGGGTCTTCTGACCTTCGCACTTTACCATCTCACTAAACTACGATGGGCTCAATTCTGGAGAAGATCCATGCAAAGGGAATCTCCGTTCCCTTCGGACTATTCCAGACCTCATTCGATACAAAGTTACAAAAGAGCAAGAATTATACTACTTTATTCTAAATTTATAAGAAAAAACTATGTACATAATTCAAGCGGAAACATAACAATCGAAAATCATGACCACATATGGTCTTGTTCGCTACGGATGCTGGCGCGACTCAGAGAGCATTGAGTTAGGCGCGGCGCCAGCCCGTTCTCCACCAATTGTTGAAGCCTGGTAAGCGAATACAATTGGTGGAAATTAAGCTGGCGCCGCGTCAAACTCAGCCCCCTGACACGCCCCAGCATTCGCAGCGAACAAGACTGCAACAGCATCAGCACTGAAATTGGAATAGTTCAGCAACACACACAAGCACACACCGGATATTCAGTTCACAGACGGATTTGCACAGAGAATACTCATCTCGACAACGAGGTATATCACATAGAAAAGATCGCCATTTCACGGGTTACGGTAGCTGAATTTCGCTATTCCCGTACAGGACGATCCTAATGGCTCTGCATGAAGACATGCTCTTACTGACAGAAGATTGTCTTCTGATAGCCCCTAGAGTTCTTAGGCGATGTCGATGAAACGAGAATGCCGGTAGCTGTCCAGGTAAATGCGTGATCGTCTCTTTGGCGTGACAAAGTCTTCTATTCGACGCTCCTGATCTTGGTAGCATCTGAAAATGAGAAGAATAAAGGAAAGTAGGGTCAAATTCATTTCGAATTTTTTGCTTTATCTGATTTTCTATGGTGTATGAAACCCCCTCTTCGCTCGACAGCATTTTCGGGGAAAGGAGGAACCCTAAACCCCGAGAAAGTAGTACGAAAGTAGAAGAATTTGGGGACATAGGCGAAGGAATGATCTTAGGTACGTAAGTTAAGTAGGCTGGGCGTGGAGGTGAGGTCAGACCAGAAGAGTGAAATTTCGACGCGGGGAGAGTCGTGTTTGTATTAAACTCTGTCCCAACGGCAGGAGCTGCCTTGTTTGTAGCATCATAAGAGCCTTTGCGAAGCAACGAAAGTACGTCTGAAGGCCCAGTATCTGACCATGAGTGACCAAGATGGGCACATTGGCGACTTGTGGACAGGCCACCAGTAAGGGAGGGGACTCGTCTACGGCGTTTTGCTACTAATTTGCTTCTTCTTCGTCGCTAGCGCCTTCTTTGGCACCTTTCCATCCATACCTGAGTCCAGTACAGGGCATCATTTTATGGAAAATTTCTGCTAAAGCTCCCCCTCCTCAACTGTTCTCCCTAAGTACGACCCTCTTACCTACACCTGATATCCCGAAGATGGGGAGGGCGTGGTTACGTGCTTCATTTGGACGTGGAAGACACTGCGGCTCTCGGGGGCAGTTTAAGGGAGAAGTCAATAATCTTCAGAAGGCAAGTGGCACGGCAAATCCATAAGGCGTGTATGATAAATACGCCTGGCAGGACAGAATTTGGTGGCCCTGCAAGGCAGCTTTTCCAATAGAGTTTCCCTTATAGCGCCGTGTCAGGTTGCAACATGCCTACCTAGACGCCCACCGCAACCGCCCGCCCACAAATGACCGGACAGTCACAGCGCTGGTACTCTTAACATTTCGTTTACGAAGTACAATGGATGTGAAGTGTTGCTAAATGTATATATGGATACATAGGTGCGGCCGCATCCATCAAAGCGGTTGTTGGCACGCCAACGGGAAACTCGTCCAAAAATGCTTGTCCAGTGCCATGTGAACAATGGTTCCTTCCCAGGTTTTTGGCCATTTGACTAAGGCTTTTTCGTCATTTCCCCATTACAAGACCCCTGCTACTATTATTGAGCAACTGCCAAATTATCGTGTCTTATGCCTTCAAAAACGCAATTTAACTCACTTTGAATTCCTATTCTCATCCGTCTCCGAGAATTTGGTGGCGTGTGAGTAAGAGTGCCTTTTATCAGTGACGACCATCGGTGGCATGTCGTAGGTTTCAACCCAATCGGACGCATTCCATTGGACAAATGTCAGCGCTACCGGTAACTTCTCTGGCATTACCGAGTGATGAGTGATAAGCATTTGGAGCGATGGGAAATGCTTGTCACAGCTCTGGAAAAAAACGATCTAGAAATCAAAATTTGCATTTTGCAAGTCAATATTTTTTTTAAATATTTTCGGGGCTGTTTTTTTTTCTTTGGCAAACAAGTCGTTATATAAGGCCATGAAACTGCCTAGAGCTTGGAACAATCGCGACTATCTACCAATAACGAGCTAATCGAATCGCATGTCCGCAATTACACAGTTACTTTGAATCGAAATAGGATCCTACGGTACCCACGCGTCACAACGAGTTCCGCTGTGCGGACCATGACGCAACACTGCGGATAATGAAGTGTTGTGGTGTTACCGTACTTGAAATTCTTAGTGAGATTACTGTAACGACGATTAGCCTAATCCACTTGGATCTCAGCTCAATTGTTATGCTAATAGATAAGTGTTACGTATTCGGATCAGAAAGAAATGAATGTGAGGCAATCACTCCATCCTTGAAAAAATTAAAATATATGAGAAGAAGAAAGCAGGAAAAATCGAAAAAAAAATCAAAAATACCTACACCATCACTGAAAATAAAATATAATATACAAAAAGTACACTTACTAACAATATATCACTAGGCCTAATCTTGCGCTCCATTTAGGCCTTTCGACCTACCCATTTTGCCCCTCTCTTTCATCCCTTTCATTATCTCCCTACTCAAGGTACTATGCTTTTCCAAAGAATATGGTAATCTTGTAATTGACCGAACTATAGCTGACCTTAATTCGATATCCGTGCTGATTTCTGACAATCAGGTAGTGTGATATGCATGCTGGATTATGCGTGGGCGGTACTCGAACGCTCAACGCCAGACATCGTCGTTTTGATTCCGAATATCGTACGACAAAAGCTCCTTCGGCTTGTGCAAGCAGATTTCGAACCAAAAGTTCCCTAAAAATTGGAAGTAAAAGCAGCTACAACAGCTGAATATGTAAAAACAGAATTGGTTTCACAAATCGCAGTTCCCATAACGTTTTCAGAGAATAAAAGGATAGACCTCACAATATTACTCATTCCTGCTAGGCCGCTCCATATAGTACTGACATTCTTTCAAAATTGTAGGGTTCGCTATGGAGATGAGTGAAATGGCAGTGTAAGATCCGTCAGAGAGGAGATCCAAGTACGATCCGCTTCTTCCAGAACCTACATACCATCCTATCAACTTTCCCAAAAGTTGCCATTGAACGGGAGTGGGGGAGATAGAAAGCACGAAACAATTCCAGAATAGTAGCTTTGCCGAGCCGCCAACTGGTAGGGGGTGTCTGCTAATACAGCAGCGGAATCAACTGTTGAGAGGCATTCTATTGAGGGCCCGATAGCACCCCCCCCCCACCCCCTCCCACAGCAACAAACACGGCCACCATGGTGGGACTCTCTTGATGATGATTTACTCCGATTTGAGGCAGCTTAGGAACTGGAAGGGGGGGGGGGGTGGGCAAGCAAGCAGCAAGCAGCAGAAAAAGTCATTGTTTCATCCTGTCAGACCAACTGGACACCAGTTTGCTGACTACAGAGGAAGGAACGTTCAATTGGGGGCCTGGAGCGCGCACTGGAAATAATGCCTCTCTTGCCTTTTGTCTAGACCATAAACCCAGCCTTCACCGCTCTAACCCTGTTTCATTCCAATTAATTTGATCTGAATTAAATTGAATGAAATATTAAGTGCTTCAGAAGGACAAAATTATCCCTAATTCTTGCTCCGTATTTCAATTGTAAGCGCTATTTACTTCTTACGGCCCCACTCAGGCCACACTTCTGAAGATTTTATTTATTTATTTATTTATTGATATACACTCAAGGGTGCGCCGCAAGTTATGGGAAAGCGAAACAAACACAATTAGTGCATAATACAGCCAGTTATACTGACAAAAAAAATAAAACATCTGGAAACAAGATTTCTAGACAGTTCTGACTAAACTCCGTGAGGTATTGAGGGGACAAACGAGGTCATTCCCATTAGAAGATTTTTGCTTGTCTTAATTCAAATCCCCGCTAGTGCCCCATATCTGTCCCCAGATGAAGGCATTTCGCCCATTTTATGGCCCTCATGGTTTTTACGCACCAGTTCTTGGCAGCGAACACCCTAATCGACATAGCCTGCATGTAATCGCATAACATCTGGTAACAGATTTTCGACTTCCCATAAAATTCTTGGTAGAGCGTATAATTTCTGCCAGGCGCGTAGCCCGCTTGGCCCAGTGTATCTGTCAAGGCTACATTCTTTGTTCGAGGGGAGCTCAAGACTCTGGAAAGTTACCAAGAAGGGTTCACTAGGTTGTGACGCCAAATACATTGTGCGATAAATGCTGACTTATGGCTTGCAGGATCGCATTCAACCACTTTTATGATCTAAAATGATCAGCGTGGGCACGGCGCATCTTGGACTGACTTATTAAGAACAGAGTGAGTGTTAGTACCAGATTATCAAACTTTTTAGCCGTCAATTATATCATATTCGGAACAGGACCCTCATTCATGGCTCATTCACAGGAACACCAAGACAATTTCCCAGCTATTCAAATGTTGCCCCTCCCTGCTAAGGTATTTACCCACGTGTGAAGGGATTCACCTCTGAGCGGCATGTTTTTATGCTATACAGCTGTTGATTTGACCCATGATGACTTCGCCATTACTGGTCATGCACAAATCCTTAATTACCCTCGTTTGATTGCTCATCTCATAGGCAATTAACGCCGGTCTACGTCACCCAGGCAAGTTCCTACATGGGTTATTCAAATCGTCTTCGGGAATACCGTTCCAAGTCAATTCAGTGAAAATATAAAAATAGCTATTTCTCACCTTGATGGCAATTTCACAAAATAATTGACATTTTCTAGTTGAGCCTGAAGGGTTTCGTCCACGGGGTAGATCCATTCACCAAGCTTCTCATCAAATACCAGCACGGGTTCGGCGGCTTTCTTCTCCTTGGGAGGGACGGGTTCTTCAGGAACTGGCTAGAATAGATTGAATTTAATGACCTACCAGTAGGTTAGCTCAAGATGAATGGGTAAAAACATACGGAAGTGATTTTCTGTAGGAGTTCCTCACGTCGAATATCCTTTCGTGGAGGTGAATCGATGCTGCTCATCTGAAACACGAACAGTTCTTTTTTTCAGCTTTTCTCAGAAAGACTGCCGTGAGGGGGCACAGTGCACTTGGAACAGGAAAAATCGAAAAAAGACAGTTAGTTACATTTCTCCTAGAAGCGAGTACGACCCCCCCCCTCCAGCAACCAAATACGACCCCCCTACCTAAATTACGGCGTGCTCTGCGGGTGCAGTGGGCTAGTGGTGACATTGCAGACTAAGCCGATTCGTGGGGTTTTCTCCCGGGCCCGTCAGGGCTTCTTCCATATCGGTGGCACGTATAAGTACTGTATTTTATCAATAGAATGCTGAGTTATGGGCAAAACGTTTTGCCTCAGGTCGGACTCGTACCCGAGATCACGATTTTTGGGAGCTCTGATCTTTTGTTTCGATTTTTCCTGCTGTTTCTCTTATTAGTTCACATTTTATTTATTGTAAAGGTCAGACACCCATTTCAAACTTGGATGGACTCGCAGCAGCTCGACTCCTGGCGTATCTTCCAAGAAAAACCGGTCTCGTCAACACCTTTACTTCTCTGCAAGTGCCCCTTTGACAATAAAAAGCGACCACGATCTCCCCCAGTAACTTTATTGAAGCATTTAATTTGCACAAATATTACGTCACAGCCCCCTCTTGGAGAGAGGATTTCCGGCATGCCATCGGATCGCAACACGATGCTGACGTAATACAATCCGAGATGATGTTCCCAGTTAATAATACAGTGCTATGTGACACGTACTGCGGGGATTGCGTAACCCTGCGCGCTACGTCCAAAATGATGAGTTAGATGATCTACCGATAACCCGTATCGTGCACTAGTTATTAGTGATCTTAAGCGCAGTGTACCGTTGACAGATCGGGCTGCCGTAGAGGCCTGGAGGATGAGTTGGAGGGCCTTTCACAGATCGGGTTGCGGCCCAGTTCGGCTTGGTTGGGGCATCGAATGGTACCCAGCGACGTCTACACATGCTATCCTGTGAAAACTCGAGAATTCTTGTGACCAAAGTGGCTCATCATTTCGCAGCTCACAAGAGTTTACAGGTCCTACCGAAATAAGACTTGTTAGCTAACATGAGCCAGCAAAACGAACTAGTGAGAGTGCAAGATGCTCCTCCCAAGCCGAGTAGCGCCCCGGTTACTGTATAAGTCGCCTGGAAGGCGAGCTGAAGGCACTACACATCAAAGCGATGAGGGAAATTGGTCTCTCAGTGCGACTCCATCACCGCTTCGAGTACGGCGACCCGGCTCAACCCAGAAGTGTAGCCTTACCTACTTACTTGCCACCTATTTTCCAACACGAAGATATCTGGCGCTTCTAGGAAGGGGGGGGGCTATAATGCTCCGAGACCCTTGAAAAATCAAAACTTTGCGGTAAAATTTCCCATATTATACGAATTCTTCTGAGCAACCGGATATGACCCCCTCCACCGTAACCACGAAACGTCCTTTCCGCTGCGGACAAATGCCCCTCAAAGCCGAACAGTGCTAGGTATTCCTTAACCTCACAGAAGCTTTATACTCATCGAGGAACTTTTTAGCTCGGAACCTGTTTCCTCATATCCTTCGAAGAGCATCAGAAAACGCCCATGGGACACAGTCGCTTGCGACCTCCAAGCATTGGCTGACGGTATGTACTACCCGTACTGGATGGCTCACTACTCTCGAGTAATCCTCTGGTCCTCTATATTC